ATTCTAGAATGTCCTATTTATTTATTTATTTATTAACTGGAAATAGTAATGTAACGTTGCTGACGTTTCACCAAACATCCAGTTTTTTTCTTCAGAGTTTGACTGAAACTGGCTCGCATTCTTCTCCGTACCTGCTTATATATTGTGTGAAGGGAGCGGAGCATAAGAAGAGACGTGCACATTGTCTCGGATGACTGATTCCCATATTGTTCGGCGACTTCGTTGAGCCTAGTTGATATTTTTGGTCCGGTTTCCAAAACGTATTTTTTGCAGCATATTGCACATGGAATGCCATAAACTCCTGGTATTTCAAACGGAATTTCGTAAAATTGAAAATGTTGATTTTTGGACAAGCGGTAAATCGGGCTTTGACTTTATATTTCTTAAGATATGTTGAACAACAGAGGCAAGTGTGCTTTCGGACTCATTGCCTTTGGAGGGTTGTGGTGAAGTATATTTATAGGTGTGAGTGTCTCTAATGTGAATATTATTAGAGAGAAGAACAGAAGTAAGCTGTTTTAATTCTGGGTTAGTTTCAGAGCTCTGTAAACAACAGAGTTGATTTGGAGTTGATTGGAATTGATTTTTGGGTCGGATGGTGATATGACAGTGAGTTAAGTTATCGGTTTGTGTGCGTAAGCTTTCTGAATGACGCAATATTAGGTCTGATTTTCTATTGATAAGAATATCTAAGAATGGGAGCTAATAATTAGTTTCTAATTCAATGGTAAAGCGTATGTTAGGGTGTATAGAGTTTCAATGGCAAAGAAAATCTAGTACTAATTCTTGACCATGAGGCCAAATAACAAAAGTGTGATCAAAGAAGCGTTTCCATAATTTTGATTGTAGATGGAAAATGTCGAGGACTTTCTTCTCAAAGGTTCCATAAATATATTCGCGATGACTGGTGATAATGGAGAACCCGTAGCTGCGTGAAAATATATAAGCAACCAATCTCAACCGCGACTCAGAATTTTACCTTTCACCAACTTGGTGAAGCTATGCCCCCCTCAAACAATATATAAACCGCTACAGAGGAGAATACGCGCCAGTTTTCTGTTTCAGTTAAGCTGTGAAACATCCAACAGAAATTTCTTTGAAAACACACAATTATAAAGTAAAATATACACAAGTTGAAGATACAAAAATTGTAATGTAAAATAGATATGAAAATGTATATTGGAATGTGTAATCATTAAAAGGTCCTGCTTGCACAGAAAAGAAGTGAAGTTTACCACGCCATCAGCTGTCTAGTTCTCTGTCTACCATTTATGAGAGAAGATTTTCTTCATTCCTCAGTATTGAAGCAATACTAAAAATGCTAACGAATCTTGTCTGTTTTCTGTCACTTTTGTATATTTTTCTAAACTTTGAAATATTCCTCGGACCCACCCGCATACTCTCTACCCGACAATTCGACCAAGTTTAATTATGCAAAACCGACAAGTGAAAAACGACGAGCCGAGAATGGTGGGGATAAAAGGCTAATTAGGTGGGGTGAATTAGTAGTATCCAACGCGTTGTTGGAATATTAACGGAGCATTTTCTTTGTTTGAAAACAGCAATCGCGTGGGAGTTTTAGCAATACCGACAGATCTAAGAGGAGATTTTTTATTTGTTACTGCAATTTATATACGGACATTTTAGATGGTGCTAATTTTTCGCCTAATAAATGGTAGTAGTATCTAAATTCAGTCAGCTAACAAGAGAACATAGTGTTAACACTAGGAAATAGTGCAAAGTACGTAATATGAAGTATAAATCTAATCTAAAATTTCCTTTTTTTTTAGAAACAGTACTAGTCAATCTTAATTGATTAGTGTGGCAGAAGATGTTATTTTGTAATTATTTGAAATTTTCATTCATATATTATAAGAGAAAGAGCAAACAAAGAAGTGATAATAAGTGAAGCTACACCATGCATAAAAAGCAGCGCATGAGTACATGACTAACGCAACTAAGCAGTAATTTTACTAACATTTTTAAAATCATCCTTAACATACCGACCAATAGGAAAAGATCAGAACTTCAATCAGAAAATACCGCTCTGAAATTCACCCCTAATTTATCTCGACAATATATAAAAACTCCACAAAATACAATCTACATATTATCAAATTGGGTTGGAGTTTGACTTTCTGTAAAAAATGCTACATTGTGCAGCCATCTTAACCAAAGGCTCTAGGCTAAAATAGTCCAAAATTGAGAAATCTTAAACAAAAATTTAACTTTTAAGTTTTAAAAATTAAAAATTAAAAACCATAAACCATAGCGTTGACAGATGATAATTAATTAATTAGGGAAACGAAACTAGCTATAGAATAACATAGATTTTGGTGCTATTTAGGTTAATTTATTTAATATAATATCATTGTTTGTTTTCTTTAAGCTATTAAGCTTTCAGGTTTCACGCAATAAATAATAAAAATAGTTACATGAAATCGGTTCTTGTTTGATCTCTATTAATTTATTGCGTGGAATAAGCAGGAATGGTTTTTACTGCAGCCAGTTGAAACCAAATATTTTCCATCTGTAACTGTTGTATATAAGATACTCATTGATACTGACCTCTAAGTAACCTTAATATCTCAGTATTGCAGTGACAGCATACCTTTACCTCATCGGCGATACAGTAAGTTCAATTTCTACATTTGAACGTTGTTATTAACTTGATATATTCCGCTATAGACGAAGCATATAAATAATTACCCTCTTTCCTACAATATCTCCTCATGTAGATCGAATCACAAGACTTTAGCTTTGAGTTGTATACTGTAGCAACCTAGCAATCCATCATAAAACGTCAGCGGCGGAAACTGCAAAGCTATTAGAGGTAATTTTGTTAAAGGGAACTTGGTAGTAATTTGCAGTTGGCAAGCGGCGGTCTCCAATTTCGACAGAAAATAACTTGGATACAGATGGCACACTAATGGATTTAATTCCATGCAACTCGATCAAACTTATCCGAACGTTCTACGAAAATGTCATCGTGACGACTCATTTTTATTACTGCAGAAGCGTTGCATGTCCAGAAAATTTCAGCTCGAAAATATATTTTTCAACACGTTAAATTACAATAAGATTAAATGCATTGATTTCAAAAAAATTGTTTCTGATTGCGTCGACTAGCCTAAGTTAGCTGAAAGGATGTAAACTGAAGTTTGAACCACTTCTTAACAGAGAACGGAACGAAAATGAATAGAAACACCCCCAAAGTTGTGCGGTTTCTAGAAGAAAAGAAAGAATGGAAAAGAAATGGAAAGATAAATAATGGATAGTTTAGATGAGGAAAATGTGATAAGGGAAGAACTCAAAAATTTAGTCCGCAGGCCAATTTATAAAACGGGAAATCGCTGGATGGAGAAGCCGTTCGCAAAATCTTAAAGTACTAGTTAAAAGTAAAATACGTAGCAAAAGAAAAATAGGACAGAAGAAAGAAACATGGGAAATGGCAAGAAGCTTGAAGAAAAAAAGGCATAGAAATAGCAGCACCAAAGAAATTATATAATAAATAACCCACATACCTCTGAGTAGAAAGGGAATTGATTATATATAGACAGATAAAGTTGAAATAATGTTTTTTTAATATATTCGGAGTGATTCGGATAGTTCTCCATTAATGGAGAATAAAATGTTTGTATAGAAGTTTTATAAATCTGTTTTCTTTATTCGAAGACACATCTGAGTTCATTCAATTTGCGAACTACGTGCTTCGGAAAACCAATCAAACTTACCTAACAACATCAACCACCAACTTTTAAAGCCATTACAGGTGAAAGGTGAAATCACCTGGATGCTTTCGATTGCTGCGTCGGGAAATTCGCTACCCGGATTAGTTTAAACAGAGTTTAAAATACCCGGCAGAAAATTAAAAGTCCAGTATTGAGATGCTTATCTAACTAACTAGCTAAATAGAGGTTTATTTTAAAGAAATTTTAGATCAATTTTTCTAAAGCTAACGGTTTAAATATTACAAACCTAATATACATTTTCATTCGTCATCTAAATGAGAAAAAGTTTTAAAATGCATATTTAATAGTATATTAAAGTGCAGCCGAGCATTTACCAGTGTTTATATATATATATATATATATATATATATATATATATATATATATATATATATATATATATATATATATATATATATATATATATATAGACGACACTATATTCCGGGATATCATCTGTTCGCTTGTTGAACTTCAATGCTCGCGCTCCGCGAGTGTTTTCGGAGCGCGAGTATTGAAGATACCAAGTGGGATTTTGGCGAAACGTCTGTAGGATTCCAGTCGGATGCAGGATTCCAGTCGGAGTTCAATAAGCGAACGGATAATATCCCGGAATATAGTGTCATCACATTTTTCCATCCGTGAATCAATACGTAAAATATATATATATTAGAATTTATTTCGAATATAAACAGGGTGTTTAAAAAACGTTAATTTTACTTTTACAAAAGAAGTGAAATTTTTTAGCAAAAAATATACTACAGAAAATATTTACCCTGTACCAGGGAAGTTTTTAAAGCATTTCCCTTTCGTAAAAATCAAATATCACGAATTCCAATTAGAGAACACACCCCAGGCGATCGAACATTCGTGCATTTCATTTTGTATTTCAGTTTTTGGGGCTTATTATGTTTATCGACGAGAAGCGAAACTATAGAGGCATCATTAAAGTAATGACGCAGTTACCGGCATATCAGGAAAACCTCCAAATATTAACGTGATCGCCCATTTAGGTTTTACCCATTAAGTGGTGAAACCGCGGAACCGGAAATATTTTGGTGGGAAATATTAAGGGAGTGCCCGTATGAATTTAAATACCCCCATGGCGATTCGCGTGCAAAATCGCGCCCCGTCATCGATTTTCTAATAATAGTGAAAATAAAAAACAGGTTTTCAACGAGGGAAAGATTTTGAATATTTTCGCTTCATATCAATAATAGTATGCGGTCTCTGTTGACGATTAACTGAAGTGGGACGATTTTGTTTCAGGATGAAGCTGGATCAAATTTTGCCTTCTGATCGGGACAAACTTCGAAGAGATGGTCTGGTGTTGTTTAGTAAACTTATAAGGACGAAAAACGTAGAGGGATTGCAAGAACAGAGACAAGACAGAACTGACGATAAGAAACAAAAACTTACGGTGAGTTCAAAATTTTGATCAGTTAGCATGATTCGATCTTAAGGTGAATGATTAAAAATTATACTCAGCGATTAGAAAAGCGAAATCAATTTTGGTTGTTCTTACACCGTTAGGCATTATAGAATCAGCGTAATTTGAAAGTTTATACCCTGTAGAAGTCCATATAGCCAAATAAGCTAAAAATATGCTCTTATATATTTGTAGCTGGCAGCCAACAAACTTTGTTTTTGTTTCTACTGAGTTGTCAGGAGTGGATCTGAATCTTAATTTATCTTACTTAATTGTCTTACTTAATTAATCTAACTTAATTTATCTTAGAATATAAAATATTAACTACTAAAATAAACGGAGAGCTCAAACATCGAACTTAAACGTTCAAGCTTTTGTGAGTGCTAATATTTTAATTTGATTGAGTCTAATTTCTAATAAAAGAAAGGGTCGTAGTTTGGTTAGAATCGCATTTTTATTCGATTTTGTTTCTCAAAAATATCTGTTTCATGTTGGACAAGAGTGAATTTTTGGTCAGAGTGCCCTTTTGGTACACTAACCTACCAGTATTAATATAATAACTACATTTATTACTGGTTTACCGGCCGATGAAGACGAGTGTTTAAACCGTCAAAGCGGTATAAAGCTGTATACATTTTAGATCAAGAAGAATAAATGACTACAACTAGAAAAAAAAACTAAATCAAACTTAATAAAATTCATTACTAATGTCGAATGCTATATAAATAATTTTGGTAAGAAGGGAAGTGATAAACAATTGCAAATAAAAAATAAGAATACCAATGCACATGCAGAATATTAGTAAAACTGGTATGACCCTCCTTCTTTCTCTCTAGAAATGCCAAGAGAATAGTATTGTTTTAAGAGAGATATTCAAGAACACGGGTTCTAATACTTCGGTAAATACTTCCCATTGATTTTTAATCATAATAACTGCCTGATTGTTTATTGATCTAGTTTACTCTCAAGATATAATTAAAATTAGACCCTGTATGAAAAATATACGATTTTAAAGTCTTTGAAAGTTCAGCCTGCTTCGTGTTTAAATCTTCGCATAAATTTTGAATTTTCATTGCTTAATGCTATAACCCAGCCACGAAAATAAGTACAAAAAAGGTGTTTATTAATTTAAATGGGAAATTAGGTCACAGCTTGAGAGAGGATCGATAGGAAACACCACTCTGGATAAAGAAGAATTTTAGAGTCTGTATCTGTGTAATTTTAATTTGGAACCCAAAAGACCGTAAAATTCCACGTGGCATGCTGCTAATGAAAACACAATGATAAATTCTCGCTCCACTTATCCGAAATCGAACTCGTGACTAAAGTGGGATTTACTCAGCTTGTTATATCAATTACCGTTAATACTAAAATCTAAAATATTAAAATATTGCATTTAGGGGTTTGTATTTTATATTACTTAAATAATATATTGTGTGTTATAAACTAAAAAATGAATAGAATTTTAATTATACTTATATTGTTCTACAAGTTTTATAAATAAGACATTATTCTATATACTATACTTTTTTTACCCATAACGAATAATAAAATAAAATAAATAATATACAAAAAAATCCACTGAAATTAATATACGTTCTTTAGTATTCCATAAAAAAAATGGCCATAACTAATACAATATTGACTATACTTGATATATTATTTAATTTAAAGTGAATATGGATTCAAAATTTCAGCTTGCCCCTTCATTTAAGCAAACTAAATATTAAAAAAATGAAATCATTGATGCCCTAAAAAACAAATCAATATTTTTAAAGCTGGTAGAAAAAAGTGTAGGGGTAACTAAATCTTGCCTTACCAGTTATAGCGAGTTACCAAAGCTCTTGTATTGTTGTATAATACATACTTAACTGTGACTAATTTAAGGCTGACACCTTACAGGGTTTTACCGTCCACTCATAAGGATACCAGTGGCAAAAGCACCACAAAGGACACGGCCTCTGTAACTTTAAGTTTTATTGACAAGTTAACTTTACGCATTTGCTTTTACTGTTCTATATATTCTTGAATTTGATTGCAAGTTTTTTTTTACTTTTCGGAACAGGAATACTGTTATGACTTAGAAACTATAATATTGTGAAACGTTATCATTGGATCTTAATAAAAAAGAATAATTAACAATAAATGTCGGTGTTAAAGCTTGTGTTTAAAATGTTATCAAAACTTAATTCGTTCTATATCTTAGGCCACGGATAAGACATCGAAATCCCATTTAAATGTATCTTATTATATCAAAAAGTGGGCATATTACAGCTAAGGTTTATTTAATAGAGCAATCAATTTTAATAAAGCCGTGTATTTTAAGCAACCACTCTTTTATAATCGTATTGTTATAATTTTTTCTTTTTCTTCTTTCAATATGTCAAAAGAATTTCTGTTGTGCACTGTACAAAATTACCTAAAGTATCACAGCCACTTCTCATATAAAATACTACAAAATGAAATGTACACACAAGCGACGTATAAACATAACAATTATTATTTGCCGTATGTCCAAAAGCTCAAATTTGCAAAACAAATGCAACCCACACGAACTCGCGTTAAATTTAATAATCTGTTACAAGCGTTCTACACATTCAACGCCCCGAATTCCGCAATTAATTCCCGAGATAAACTGGGAATTTGCCAGGTTTGTTCACGGAAGATAATATGATACATGCGAGTAGATAAAAGTGTGCGAAACTCCGATACGCGATTGTACATCCGCGTAACAATTACACAATTGAACCACTAGAACAAATTTTATGCCGTTTTGAGCTAGAGAATTTATTTGTATTTGGTATCGTTTATTCAACGATGTACAGTTCAAGGGTTTTTGAAAATGGATGTTACGTTAAATTATCATCTATAATGAAACTTCTGATTTGTATCAACAGTGATTAAATTTGACATAAAAACTCATTAGTACATTTTGAGTTTGTTGTTAAATGTGAACTACGAAAAACATATTGAGTCATCCATAACTTATCTGTCATAAAAGAATAGGTAATACTATGACAAATTTTGGTGAGCACATCTTACCCTTCCTCTTTAGTTTGATGTTATTTGACACGGTGGACATCACAATAGTCCAATATTTCTTAAACAAAGCGTTTTTTAGTCCTTGTAAAGAAGAACACGTCTGGGTAAAAACTTCATTCGTTATTTTCTAAAAAAAAAAAACAGTAAAAGAAAAGATAATATAATAACAAAATACCAAAATGACTTCTATGGGTTGATAAATATAACTTTAAACTAAATTTAAAATCAGAGATAGTTAAAAACCGATAGGAAGTATAAACTGCAGTGCAACTTTGGAATTACAAAGAATACCTAAGAATTTTAGAGGAATTAATCAAAGAATTCCCTGGGTATTTTAAGACAATTCAGATAAAGGAATTATAAGTGTAAAGAATTATGAATAAGTTTAAGTAACCAAGATCACCATTAAAAATTTTAAAAACTGGTGGCTTCTAATAATTCCTAAGAACTCCGAAGGAATTCCAAAGAATACCTAAGAATTTCAGAGTAATTCTAGAGTAATTTCAAGGAATTCTTTGAAGAATTCGTCTACCAATTCTTCCAATAACAACTGATTATTAGTTTAGTATTCTTCTCTCTCACCTCCCGGCTAATAATAATCAAGATAACCTTCCACAATTTTAAAAAATATGGGTCTATTTGTGAAGCCACGCAGACTCTACCCACAGATAGGAATTTGCTATTTGCTCAGTTCTGTCCTACGTTATCACGGAATTATGTCAAATTTGTCAAGACCCCCTCTAGAGTTTACTTATCATACCGACCTTTTAGAGGATAAAGTGGAACGTTAGGTTTTTAAAAGGAAGTACCACGCTGATCGACGATATTTACCAAACAAAAATATAAACATATTTTCAGATGTAAGCAAAAGGGAATGTCGAACGGCCCCCGCCTCCAAATAAAAACATTTATAAAAGAACGGTGTTTAGGGACAGATTATCCTATCCAAATAAATGGGAACAGCACCTGTACAACGATATCTCTTTTTATTGATTTTTTGCGTTCCCCGCCTGGGAAACAATTTAAATTTCTCTGGCGGTGAATTGGAGCTCGAATAATTGAATTTATATGACAGTATGACATACAATAAATGCATGTCAACGTTCCGTCGAGTTTAATTTGGCTCCGGTTACAATTTGCGCATTGTCGCCTTTAGGCATCCAAACGTGCATTTTTAATGTCTTCTTTGTCATATTTGGCAACAGGATTTATGCTCAAAAATTAAGAGAGAAGGATACATCGTTTGTTAAATAATTCTAATAACAATTATTACCTATTTATTCTCCTTCGAGGAATTTACTTATCTCCTGAAGAGAACAATAAATCATAGGGTAGTTTCAAAGTTCGATCTCCTAATGCTTTGAGATTGGTTAAAAGAACATTTGGAAAAAATATCGAAACCATTAAGGACACCATACGTTGGGTTTTTCTTAAAGTTCCCAGTGATAATGAAAGTCACTATTGTCATCATTAATTACTTTTTGCTAAAATATCTCACACTCATTAACACAATATATGGCTATCAAACAGTTGTAAAAAAGGAAGAAGACAAACAATTTTTTTAATAACTGAACAGATCAAACCAAAACCAACAAATCTGGAGGAGGACGAGGTTTCTTTTGGAATTTCGATTGGATATGATTTTTGATAAGGACTTGTTACTATCTTTAACCTCTTTAACTTGAATTAAAATTTACCGCCTTCCCATTGACATTTGACACTCCTGATTGTGCATAAGTTCTGGATGATGATGTCACATCCTTGGTCTGCCGTAACAATACGCCTCTGCGTGCGGAACCTTGTGACCTTGCTTACTCTTCTGAGCCTCTTACACACACGATACAAGATTTAATTAAGCATTAAAAATAAGAGTTAAGACGTTGTTACCGGCAGTTTCGTTAATATATTATAATGGTGCCCCTCGTATCGGGTTGAGTGCATAAAAAGAG